TTTGAACCTAAGTCCTCTGCAAGAGCAGTCTGTACTGTTAACCACTGAGCCATCTCTCCAGCCCCTTATTTATTATTTTTATTTTTAGTGTATGAATGTATTGCCTGCATGTGTGTGAGTGCGCCCATGTCATGCAATGCTGTGGAGGTCAGATGAGGGCTTCAGATTCCCCTGGAACTGGAGTTAAGGACGGTGTGTAGCTGCCACCTGGGTGCTGGGAATCGAACCCGGGTCCTCTGCAAGAGCAGTCAGTGCTCTTAACCGCTGAGCCATTTCCAGCCCCGGAATTTGCTCTTTTCAAACAGACATCCTGGCTAGTGTCTTGGGTGATAACTCAACCTGTCTGTGCTGGCCTGGCTGCAGGGACTTCCTCCTTTTGGTCAGCAGAGAGTAGAGACAGACTCTATTCAGTTTTTGAGACTGCTCAGAGGTTGTCCAGCCAGGGACACTCAAAGGTGACAGGTCATCACATCATGAACTGGAGTCTGCTGCTGAATCTCCTTGGGTCTGGCTTCCCAGGGGCTGACCCTGAATCCAGAGTCCCAACATTACAAACAGGGAAGCTCAGCCTTGCCCTCTTTGGGTCCCTGGTCAAAAGCTTTGGCAGGGCTTGAGGCTAGACAGAGGGAGGTGACTTGCCTAAGACCTCATGGGATCCAGGACTCCTTGCCCTCCTGTCTTGTCCTCTACATGCTCCAAACCATGTGAGCATTGGAAGAGACTGGGAACATGATCCCAGAAGCTGAGTCTAGTGGGCATGTGGGCCGTGAATAAGGAAACCCATTGACAGAGTGATTTCACAATGCACAGCTGGGCTGGTGGCTGATGCTTATAATCCCAGCACTTGGGAGACTGAGATAGGATTCCAGGCCAGCCTGGGCTATATAGCAAGACCCTTTCTTTTCTTTTCTTTTCTTTTCTTTTTTCCTTTAGTCTTTTGGGGACTGAAGTCATGAGTCACCACACCCAGCAAAGACCCTTTCTAAATAAATAAATAAAGCAAAAAAAAAAAAAAGATTATGGGTACACCATTGGAGAGGGTGGTTAGCAAGGGCCTTTCTTGAGGAGGTAATGCTTGAACAGAGTCATAAGGAGCCTCTCTGGTCATGGGACTAGAACGGCCCAATTAGAGAATACAGAAAGTGTAAAGGTTCTGAGATAGGAATGAGCTTGATGTGATGGTCAGAAGGCTGGGGTGGAGGGGTTCAGGTCATAGGTTGATGAGGAGACAAAACCAAGCAGAGTGGGGCTGGAAAGATGGCTCAGCAGTTAAGAGCACTGGCTGCTCTTGCAGAGGACCCAGGTTCAGTTCCCAGCACCTATATGAGGGCCAACAACCATCCTAACTCCCATTCCAAGGGATCTGACACCCTCTTCTGACCTCCGAGGGCATACCAGGACATGGGTGCACTTACATACATGCAGGTAACACAGTCATAAAACAATAATAAGTTAAACAAACAAACAAACAAAAAAGCAGAAGTACCTCCTCTGGGGTTGCGAAGTTTCCTGTCTGTCTTTAGCTGTCTGCCTTTTCTCATTGGAAAAGGCTAGTTTCATTTTACAGAGGAGAAAAGTACCCTGACATAATTAACATAAAACAGGTATATTAAAAACAACTGGATCTGAGGCATACCTATGATCTCACTTGGGAGGTGGAGACAAGAGGATCAAGAGTTCAAGGTCATCCTTGGCTACATAGTGAGTTTGAGGCCAGCGTGTGCTACATGAGACCCTATCTGAAAAACAAAAGCATAGGGGGGGCATGAGACATGGCTCAGCAGTTAAAAGCCCTGCTGAGGACCAGAGTTGAGTTCCCAAAACCCACGTGGTTGCTCACAACCATCTGTAATTATGATTTAACACCTTCTGTCCTCTGTGCATACCTGCACACATGTGGAAGACACATACACACACACACACATAAATAAAAATAATTTAAAAGAATAGAGAGGCCTGGTGTGGTGGCACATACCTTTAATTCCAGCACCTGGGAGGCAGAGGTAGGCAAATCTCTGTGAGATGGAGGCCAGCCTGTCTATATAGCAAATTCCAGGCTAGCTGGGGCTACAGGGAAACTCTGTCTCAAAAACAAACAAACAAGAAACCCACAAAAAGAGAAAAGAAAAAAGACAAACCAAAACCACATATTTTGTGTTTGTTTTGAAACAGGGTCTCCTTGTAGCTCCAGATGACCTGGAATTTGCTAGGTAGACCAGACTGGCCTGGATCTCAGAGATCCGCCTGCCTCTGCCTCCCTAGTGCTGGGATTAAAGGTGCGCGCCACCACGCCCGGCTAAAACCACATTTTTTCATGGCTTAACTGAAATTCCAATTTAACTGGGCCTCTTGGACTTTTGTGCTGACAGCCCTACCAGTCTGAAACCCAGGGCTGCCTGACCCAAATCCCTTGCTTCATTTCCTGTCGCCCGCTCCTTCCCCCAGCAATTTCAGAAATGGAGAACCTCAAGTCTGCGCGGCCAGGAAGCTACCGCCCTGTGGTTCAGATGGTTCCGACCTTCTTGGGGCCTCTACCTTCCAGGACAGCGATGCCAAAGAGCTGCCCGAGCTCAGCCCCCCCCCCGAGGCCCCGCCCCGTGGCCCCGCCCCGAGGCCCCGCCCCGAGGCAGTCCCTCCCGCGGCCGCGCAGGTCCCGCCCCCTGCGCGCGCTCTGCCCCCCAGCCAGGCTGCCTGCTCCTTCCACCCTGCAGAAACTGCGGCTGCCCAGCTGCCTCCGCCCCGGGCCGGGGTTCCAGGTGGGCGGCTGGACATGGAGCTCCGAACTGCGGATCGTGAGCCTCCGGCGCGCCCCAACCTGCCCGTCCGGTTAGCGTCCAGCCGGGGGAAAGTGGGGACGGTGGACTCTTGAAGGGTGAAAAAAACCCACATCCCGCCGGGAGGTGGGATGGATGGGGCAGCAATCCCGGCTCCTGACTTTCTTTCTGTGTCTCAGACCGATGGGTGACCTTGAGCCGAGGGCGCCTCGTCTCTGCCTCTCCTGCTTCATCTGCACAGTGGGGATTGGTTTGGCAAGGTCGCCGATCCCACATCCTTTAGGATGGGACACCGCTTCTCATGTTTGCAGACTTTAAGGCGATGGGTTTCCTGGGCGCCATTTGCCTTGACCCAGATCTCTACCCTCCCTTGCCTCAGTTTCCCCCATATCCTGCCTCTATCCCTTCCTGGCTCTGAGCTCTGGGTCTTGGCAGGTACCCATCACCCCGCCCTCCCCATCCCAAGCCCTGGAGACAGCAACCTCCCGTCTGCTGAGGGCTAGGGACAGCATGAAGGCTCCGGTAAGTGGCATGGTAGGGGAACGTTCACTGGGGACTTGGAGGGAATGGGTGCAGAACATTCTCGAAGCAGCCTGCCCACGCCAGTACCGAAATTGAGTTTTTCTCTTTCATTTGGTGCTGGGGGATGAAACTCAGGCCTTGTCTGTGCTAAGCACATGCTCTTCGACAGAGCCCCACCCACAGCCTCTCGTACTTGCTTCTGGCCCCACTGCTCTGGGGCAGCTGGGTCACTGGCTGGAGTGTAGCCCTACACTCTGGTGGCTGTGTGACCCCAGGGGAGTGACATTACGTTTTGTTTTCACTTCTTCGCTCCCCTCTCCTATGGAACGGAATTAAGAGTACAAGGTCATCCAGGCCAGAGAGTGAGATACCATGAGGGTTCAGGTCAGCTGCTCTTTCCTAGAGAAGTCCCTGAATGCTGATGGTTCGAAGGGGTGTTAACCTCCACAGCCTGAGCCAAGGTTTCTGTTTCTTGTGGGCAGGGTACCAGTTGCTATGCATATCTGGAGGCCTTAGGGGCTGAACCCCATTCCACCTCCTGAACAGCTGGCCTCATAGAGGAGACCTATTTTTAGAAGCTGATGTGGCTTATGGGCGGGCAAGGAAGGGTGGGCCTCTGGTAGGATGTGCCTGGGGGCCATTCTGCACCTCTGATTTTCACGGAGTACCGGCCAGCTGTTGGTTTCTCTGGGATGGCCTAGGGTCTAGAAAATTGGAGCTCAGAGAGTAGGTCTAAAAAATTGGAGCCCAGAGAGTATTGAGTAGGATGGCCCAGCATACAGTGGCAGACCCAGGGTCCTGTAGTTCTACTCCCCCACATGACTCTTCCAAAGCTTGATGGGTACTTTTAGTGAGTGTGCCAGCAGGTAACCCCAGGTGAGAAGGCCAGAGGGCTTCCTGGTTCCAGTGGCATTTGGCATATAGTTTCTAGAGGTGAGAGCCGCTGACCAGCAGTGTTCCAATTATTGAAAGTATTTCCTTTTTATGTTTCCTTTCTAATTTTTGAGATAAGGTCTCGGGCTGTAGCCCAGGCCAGCCTTGAACTTACCCTGTTGTCCAGGGTGGCCTCAAACTTGTGGCAGTCCTCCTGCTTCAAGCTCCCTGAGTGCTGGGATTACAGGAATGAGCTACCGCTCCTGGCTGGAAAATGTTCCTTAAATGACTCTTCCCTGAAGTCCCCTTCCATCCCCTGGGACTGCTCACCCAGATCCTAGTCATCAGCTAAAGAGACACACTGAGTCAGCTGGGGGTGGTAGTAATGGAGGTGGGGTCTTGAGGGTAGCCTTGGGCCCGGGCTGAAGGCTAGCAAAATGGAGTATCACACTTGGGCTGCACAGTGAACCTGGGTTCTAGGTAAGAATTTGAGTTCTGCAGGCCCAACTTTGTACCCTGGCTATGTGGCCTTGTATATGGACATCTGGGCCAAATAGGCATCTTAATCTGGAAGAGGAGATGTTGGGGTTATCTCCTTCACTAGACAAGAGTTAAGCATTCCTGAAAAAGGCCCCATTTATGGAGACCGAATTCTAGAGCTGCTGATGTGGTTCTATATGGGGGAGGCTGGGTGTGGTTGCCACGGCGCCCACAACCCTGTGACCACTGTCTTGCAGGGTCGTCTTCTGCTCCTCACACTTTGCTTCTTGACCATCTCTGCTGTCTACATCCTCCTGTGCTGTTGGGCCTGCCTGCCCCTCTGCCTGGTGACCTGCCTGGACCACCACCTCCCTGTGGTCTCCAGACCCTCTGTGGTAGGGCCTCTGCACCTCAGTGGCTACAGCAGTGTGCCAGATGGCAAGGTAAGTGCACCAGACTAGATGTTGGGCAGACTTTGTTAAGGAGGCCAACATGCCCCAGCTCTAGGGGGCTGTAAGAACTGGGCTTATGTCAGGCTAGCTAGACACTGAGCTTGGCCTCTCTGCTGTGTGACCTTTGCCAGTCACTTCACCTCTCTGAGCACCTTAGGAGAAAATAGGATGTGTCCTAAGCAGATATGGCCTGGCTACTCCTGGCTGTATGCTGGGAATGTAAGGTGGCTGCCTGCCATCACAGTTGGGGGCTGTGATGTGCAGACCCTGAGACATCTCTGTCTCCCCACCATCGGTTCAGTAAGCATGCTCTTGACACCTGCAGTATGTCTGGGCTTGTGCTGGTGGCCACAGAGGATCAAGAACGGACATAGATCAAAGTTGTATATAATCCCAGAGTTCCCCCTCTGTGGAGGAGACATGGATTTTGGGGTCCATGGATGACAAGACAGTCCTGACCCTAGGACTGTATGGTGCCCACCTCCCCACACTTGCTCTGCCTGGTGAGGCTCAGGACCCTCCACATCCTCCACCCTGATAGTAGTCTTATCTAGCTAACATCGCCCGTGGTGATGTAGGGCACCGACAACTGCAGGTTCTGAATATTGTGACTCTTTGGTTGGTCCCAGGGGCATGCCCAGGAGCTGTGGCTTGAGGGGGACATGAGGGTCCCTTTCCCTCAGAGTTTCTTCCTCATCTGTAAGGGACCAATTCTTGTCTCTGTCTGACTGCTGTGAAGATTCAAAGGGTGATTGCAGACAGAACACAGAACAACTACTATGTAAATATTTGATGAAGAGACAAAAAACGCCTGGGGTGGGGCTGGGGATGTAGCTCAGGGATACAGTGCTGCCTCTCTAGCAAGGGTGAAGCTCTGGGTTGAATCTCTAGTACCACTATCGAAACAAAACAAAGCAAAACACCCAGGAGCGTGTGAACTCTCCTGTCCTCAGGAATGGCTAGGTGGGGCAAATATCAAGGTATGCTGAGTGGACTTTGTATCATCTGCCATGGTATGGCCAGAGTTCATTAGACCCTTAGACTTCAAAGGAGCATTTCCCCAGGGAGGCCAGAACTATTTCTCTATTCTCTCTCTCATGTGGGTTCTGAGATTGAACTCAGATCTTTATAAGGCAAGCACTTTACCAACTGTGCCATTTCCCAGCCTTCCTGTTTTGTTTTTCTTAAGTGAGAGATCCAGATTTTGAACATCAGTAGGGATAATTTTTGCACACTAGAAATCAATGAAAAAAGTTTTAAACTCTCGTAAGGGCAAGAACAATACCTCTTTTTTTTTTTCATGTGTATGCATGTATTGCCTGCATGTAGGTAAGTGCACCCATGTCGTGCAATGCCCGCGGAGCCAGAAGAGGCTGTCAGATCTCCTGGGACTGGAGTTACAGATGGTTGTTAGCTGCCATGTGGGTGCTGGGATTCGAACCCAGGTCTTCTGCAAGAACAACCAGTGTTCTTAACCTCAGAGCCATCTCTCCACCCCCAGAACAATACCTCTTAAGGGACTGGAGAAATGACTCAATGGTTAAGAGCACTGGCTACTCTTATAGCAGTTCCCAGCACCTACATGATACCTAATAATCATCCATAACTCCACTTCCAGGCCTCTTCTGGCCTCCATGGCCACTGGACACACATTGTACACTTACATACATGCAGACAAAACATTCATACACATAAAATAAAATTAAATAATAATAATAACCCAATACCCCTTATTTTGTTTTGTTTTTGGCCTTTTTGAGACAGGATCTCCCTGTAGCCCCAGCTGGCCTAGAACTCACTATGTAGACCAGGCTGACCTCAGAACTCACGGAGATCTGCCTGCCTCTACCTCCAGAGTGCTGGGACTAAACGCCCGGCCTTTATTTTTTTCAGGAGAAGGCCTCTTGTAGCCCTGACTGGCCCAAAGCTGTTGTGTGACAATGACCTTGAACTGATCCTGCTGTCCCCACCTCCCTGGGCCTGAGATTACAGGCTTGTCCCACCATACCTGGCTTAGAAAGTCTTACTCTTTATCACTGGGGTAATGAAAATGGTATTATGAGCCCTTAAATCAACATTTTGTCAAATAGAAAATGTGCCTGGTATATCTTTTATTGAGTGGAATTAATGTTCCCATGTCCTTCACAAGCCTCCATAAAACCCAGGTTCTTTCAGGGAGGTGCAGAGGCATGAATGAAGGGCTGTGGCTCAGTGTCTGCCTCTTGGGGGATAATAAATTGAGGTAGAGCCTTTACTGTGCCTGGAGTCTGTGTGGTGATTCACACCTGTAGTTGCACACTTGGGAGACTGAGGTAGGAGGATCTGGAGTTCCAGGTCAGCCTGGGTTATATAGCTAGACCCTGTCTCAAAAAAACTAGGAGGGTCTGGGGAGATGGCTCAGAGAGTAAAGTGTACGCTATGTAAGTAAGTGTGAGGATGGGAGAGCCCCAGAATTCACATAAAAAGCTAGGTGGGTGTGGTGGTCTGTCTGTAATCCCAGCTCTTGGGAGGCAGAGACAGGGGATATCTAGGACAAACTGGCTGACCAGACTAGCTGAAACAGGGTGCTCCAACTTCAGTGAGACCCTTCCCTAGCATATAAAGTGGAGCGTGATCAAAGAAGAGACTAGAATTCAACCTCAGGCTACCACATGCATGTGAACCTGCACATATGTGTGCCCACACACGCATACCAAACACATATGCAAAAAAAATTAGCTTTATTGTGTTTAATTTACATACAACAAAATTTATCAGTTGTAAATGTAGAATTCAATGAGTTCTGTCAGAAATATGAGAGAGTGTAACAGTGTGACATAGAACTTTTCTATCACTTCTAAAAGGTCTCTGATGCTTTTTTGTAGCCCTCTCTGGCTTGTAAAAGTGATGGGGACTGATTGGCCTTTACACAGGAAAATGGAGTGAGAGTCTTTCCGCTGAGCAGAATGTGCCTTGTATTCGAGTCTCGTCTGGATGCTGGGCAGCCTGTCTCTGAGCTCCCTTCACTTCTATCCCCTTGTTCCCTCCAGGCATTTTCTGTTGACTTCTCACTGGAGGGTGGAGGAGATGTGGGGATGTCTGTACGTCCCTCACAGATGAGAGGTGGCGGTGCCTTGAGGCCATGGGGCTCCGAAAGGGCCTAGCCAGGACTCTGGCTGAGAATCTGATTTACAGAAGACCATTCTGTTACTTATAAACTCAGCTCAGTATGGGTAGGGCTTAACTTAAACACTTACTTGATTTGAATTTGTGCCAGAGACCATCCTAAGCTTTGTAAATATTTGCTCCTGAAACCTTAACAAGGTCCCCATAATGTAGGGACTTTTAAGGCCTAAGGGGCAGCAACAGGGCTGGATAGAGCTAATGAGGAAACTTGGGAAAGTCATTCTACCTGCCCAGCCTGCCTGCCATATGAATTAAGATAAGTCTTTGGGCCAGGCATGGTGGCGCATGCCTTTAATCCCAGCACTTGGGAGGCAGAGGCAGGCAGATCTCTGTGAGTTCAAGGCCAGCCTGGTCTACATAGTGAGTTCCAGGACAGCTGGGGCTACAGGGAGACCCTGTCTCAAAAAGACAAAAAAAAAGATAAGTCTTTGGAGCCAGGCATGGTGATTTGCCAGTTATAATCCTAGCACTTGGGAGGCTGAGGCAGGAGGATTGCCACAAGTTCAAGGATAACCTGGGAAACATAGTGAGCCCTTGTATATTACAAACAAAAACTATGGCTGGCCAGATGGCATAGCCAGTAAAGGTGTTTGCTTCAAAACCTGACAATCTGAATTTGACCCTTGGAACCCACATAGTAGAAGGAGAGAACCAACTTCCACAAGTTGTCCTCTGACCTCCACATGCATACCAGGGCATGCACCCCCCCCCCCAATAACTAACTAAATAAAAACTAGGGTCCGGAGAGATGATTCATTCAGTAAAATGATTGACGCAAGCATCAGCCTCCGGCATCCATCTAAAAGCCAGGCACGGCAGCATGCACCTGTAATCCTCAGTGATGGACGGGGGAGGCAGGTAGCCAGTCTAGCCGAATCAGCAAGCTCTGGGTTCAGTGAGAGACCCTGTCTCAAAAAATTAAAGTGGAGGGCAGTTGAGGGAGATACTCCATGTCAACCTCTGGCCCCTGCTATACCCGTGTATACACATACACGTATACATATACATAATTAAAATAAGAAACTAAAACAAAATCCACCCAGTAAATCTTAGTCCTTGAAACTGTTCCAGTTATCAGTGGGCATGATGGGGCAGAAGAATTACAGGTAGGTGGCAGCTGTTCGTGCCAAGGCTTCTCACTTTTTCTACCTCTCTCTCTGTAGCCTCTCATTCGAGAACCCTGCCACAGCTGTGCAGTGGTGTCCAGCTCCGGCCAGATGCTGGGTTCAGGCCTGGGTGCCCAGATCGACGGTGCTGAGTGTGTACTACGTATGAACCAGGCTCCCACTGTGGGCTTTGAGGCAGACGTGGGTCAGCGCAGCACCCTGCGAGTGATCTCACACACAAGCGTGCCCTTGCTCCTGCAGAACTACTCACACTATTTCCAGCAGTCTCGAGACACGCTTTATGTAGTGTGGGGCCAGGGCAAACACATGGACCGGACATTGGGTGGCCGCACCTACCGCACACTGCTGCAGCTCACCAGGATGTACCCGGGCCTGCAGGTGTACACCTTTACGGAGCACATGATGGCCTACTGCGATCAGATCTTCCAGGATGAGACTGGCAAGAACCGGTGAGCCAGGGGCCCCTGGCACTGGGGACTTCTGCAGGAGCCTCTTGTCTATCTTTCTGCCAGAGATGCTCTAAGATGTGAGTGGGCCTCAGGTCTCTTTTGGATGACTCATATAATAGTTACAGTCAGAATAGCCTCTTTTGGGCTGGGGATGTGGCTCAATTGGTAGAGTGCTTAGAGTGCTTGTTTAGTATGCAAGACGCCCTGGGTCAGTCTCCAGCACAGATTAAATAGAGCCGGTACACACTTGTAATCCCAGCACTTAAAGGGTAGAGGCAGAGGGATAGGAAGTCACAGTCATCCTCAGCTACATACGGAGTTTGAAGTCAGCCTGGGCTGAGACTGTTTAAAAAAAAAAAATCCCTTGCCGGGTTTGGTGGCACATGCCTTTAGTCCCAGCACTTGGGAGGCAGAGGCAGGTGGATCTCTGTGAGTTCCAGGCCAGCCTGGTCTACATAGTGAGATCCAGGACAGCTGGGGCTACAGGGAGACCCTGTCTCAAAAAGACCAAAAAAAAAAAAAAAAAAAAAAAAAATCCCTTCAGCTGTCTTCAAGTTCTGGACACCGGGCTAAGTGAGCACTGATCACACTGCCCTAAAGATCTTGGATCTGGGAGTAGTGACACACTCCTATAATTCCAGCACTCAGGAGGCAGAGGCAGTTGGATCTCAGGTGAGTTCAAGGCCAGCTAGTCTATATAACGGGTTCCAGGCTAGCCAGGGTTACATAGTGAGACCCTGTCTGAAAGGACAAAAAACAATAGCAACAACTAAAACCCAAAACCCAACAAATTCTAAAAGAGCCCTTGGAAGACCCCCCCCGCCCCGCCCCTCCAGGTTCCCTTGTTCACATATCCTTTCACACCTTCCCTTCCTCTCAGCTTAGAACTAGCATCTCCCAGAGCTTCAGACAAAAGCTAGGGCTTTGCCCTGACTCTATGCCACAACTGACTTTTGAACCTCCTTACATGCCTCTGGGTGCCACCCCAACCCAAGCCACCTCCTCCACTCCTGCAGTTGCACTGCTCCCTTCTCTGGGTTTCTAACAGATATCCTGTGTGGATTCAGTCCCATCTGTCGACTGCCCTCCACCACCCAGCAGCTAGACTTCATTTGGAGAAAAAAGTCCAGACTCCCTTCCTCCCCTCTCACCCCCTGTCCTGCTTGCCAGCCCTGGAGATCCAGCCCCTGCCTGCCTCTGCCACCCACGTTAGCTTCTGTTTGGGACTCCTCAATCAGCCACAGGTGTTCCTACCTGCACCCCTTTGTACACTGAACATTCTTCTGTATTTTCCTGTGACTGACTCCTCCACATTCAGGTCAGGTTGAAAGGTCATCTCCTCAGGGAAGTCCTCCCTGACCACCCCCTCTGAAGGCGTACTCCTACCCTGACGTTCTTCACCCTACTCCTCTACTTCCCAGCTTTTGCAACAGCTGTCACCATCTGGCATCGTGTTTATTCTCCCTAGAGAATGTTAAACACCATTCTCTACGGCAGCACCAGGTGTGGCAGGTGCTAGAGATGGTCGGCCGGAATGAATGAATGAGCAACTTATACTGGGGTGTGTGTGTGTGTGTGTGTGTGTGTGTGTGTGTGTGTGACCCTCTGTGGGAGATTATCGAGAGCTGCCACATCAAGAGAGCTGAGGGGCTGGCTGGGTTCCCTCTCCAGACCCACCTATCATTCTCCCGCTTCACAGCTGTGTCAC